GAACTTGGCCTTGAACTTCGAGGCCAAGTCGCTGAATGAGTCAATGCTTCCCGGGCGAAGCTTGTTGAACCACTCGGTGGCTCGATTCCGCAAGGTCTGGAAGAAAAGGAGGCACTTTTCTTCATCTGTGCAACCGTTCATGGTTGCACTCTGATTGAAGGAGTCCAGGTGGATTTCTGGGTCCTCCTTACCGGTGAACCTTGGGGCGTCTATCTTAACCTTTCGTGGGAAAGGTGTCAGATGGACCCTTGTAGTGAACGGGGACCCCGCGAGGGGTTTATCCTGGTCATTCTTCTCCCCAACCTTCTTCTCCAGCCTCTCCAACTTTGCCTCCATCTGTTGGACGCGATCATTGGGGGTGGTTAACCGATTAGCCACCGGCACCCTAGGCTGGCTTTCTGCTTCTTCTTCCTGGCGAGAGGCCCTCGTCCTGGCTGGCTCCTTCCTGTTTGACCGGGAGCGTTGGGTGCGTGCAGGCTCGGCCTCCCTCATCTCACCTAGCCGGGCGAACGCGCTGACATGGGCCACGCTCTGCCCTAGCCTCAGCTTGGCTGATTTTCTCTGGCCCTCCTCCCTATCCCCCAGCCTTTCGAAGGCTGAGTTTTGGGAGGTGGCGGGTCGGACGGTTTTTCCCTTCTTTTTCTAGTGGGTCCTTGGAATGTCCCACTCGCCGTCTCCGCTTTCAACCGAGACGCAGTGACCATCCGGAGTGATTAGCGGATTCGTACCTTGCGGGGGACGCGATGGCCCTACGGCGTTAAGCGCACCAGTCAAGTTGATGGGGGCCACAGCGCTGACTAGCTGCGGCTGGAAAGGTGATGGTTGCGGCACTGGCGTTTGGAAGGGAGACACCGCCATTGGAGCTTGTAGGGGCATGGTTCCTGTGCCTGGAAGAGCGAACGGGAACATACCAGGGAGGAAAGGCATCCCCCCATTCTGTTGGCACATAGCCATGACCTGGCCAAAGCCCTGGATGGCCTGCAGGTTGGCTGGGTCATTCATAAACTGGGTCATGCTTGGTGGGAAAGTGACCCTCGGTCCAGCGGAAGGGACGGGAGCCGTGAATGGGCTGACCATGCTGGGTGTTGGAACCGAGCTTAGCCCCAATGGCAAAACCGGAGAAGAAACGGTTGGCAGGGCAACAGCCATGGGGATGCTGGTACCTTCAGTGGTGGCTTGCACCTGAGCAGGGGTGGCGTTGATTTGCTGGCTGGAAGACATCTTGAGTGGTGTTTTTGTGGGTAGGTTTGTGTTTAGAAAAGAAAAAACCATAACGGTCCCACGGTCGGCGCCAAAATGATGGTGTAAATTACTTGACCGGTCAAACTATACTAGACCGGGTCTAGAATAGTTGGCTTGATTTCGTAAAGTAAGGAAAGTAAAAACACTCAGATTAACCGGTAGGACTTTAGGTGGAACACCTGTAGCCCAAGCTATATTATAACAGAGAATACACGGTCACTTTTACAAGGGAGTTAAGAGAGAATGAATTCGGATCCCCTTCTTCGAGGGTTACAAGTGGTATATATACTAGCTAGGGGGGGCAGGACCACGTGCGCCCACGTGGGGGCATGCAGCTGGCGTGGTGTGACCTGACTGGTTCTGGGCTGCCTTGTCATCTTGCGAGGGGGGTTGCGCCCTTGTCGTGTTCTGGCTGGGAAAGATGCCTTCAGCATCTCTGCAATTCCAACCACTATAGTCCAAATCCTTTTGGATCCCTTCTGCCGACACTCTCCGATCTTCGGAAACTAGACCGGGCGATCTTTGAGGGCTGGTTTGGCTAACTTCGGAGGATGGATTTAGGCGATGGAGTAGTTTGACCGGTGTACTAACCCGAAGTGTACCGGTCAACTTTCTGGTCAACAAGCCATCCCTTTGCTGACGACTCAGATCTCCCTTTCAAGTTTGATTTCTTTGACCGGTCAACTTTTGGATTTGGATCCTTGACCGGTTTTGGGTGAAATACACCCATCAAACCTAATCTCTGAAAGTTCTCATAATCAAAAGATAACTCAGATATTACTCATGTGCACTCTTCAATTTGCCAACTGAACAATGCCCACCGATAAATTGTGCACTTTTGTGCCGTTGCTTCTTGAATAACATGGGAGGAGTGGGTAGGGTGGGGGCTCCTACTTTGTGGAGCTGCTTTGTTTCCCATTTATAGAAGAATTTATTTTTCACTCATATTTTTTCCTGTCAAGCCTCTTTAGAGGTTGCTTTCAACCACAGTTTGACCCAATCTTTCTCTATTTTGTCTTTATTCTACCTATAATGTTTTTTTGGGTACAAATTGAATGCAATTCTACCTGTAATGTTTACTAGACCCCTGGGTACCGCCCGCAAAAGCCCATCCGCAGAATAGCGGGCTTGAACATGATATTTAAGGTACGGGTCGAACTTAGGCCTTATAAATGGCGACCCAAATATTTTAAAGCCGGGCACGAGTTTTATGATCAAGCCCACGGGTCGATCCAATCTGAATAAATTAAAATATTTATTATTAGTATAATTATAATAAAATAAGAATAACATCATTAATAATAATAATAATAAATAACAAAATTATTTCAAATTATTATGAACAGACATACATACTTCTATGGAGAAAAAAAATAAATTATAAGTATATATAATAAAATGAATACATTTTTACTACTTCGTATTGTTTAGAACATATCACATATTGATTATACTATTCCAATAAATAATATTTCATACTCTGTACATAGTAGCAATATCAAACAAAATACATTTATATATTATTTTTTCTTTCATTTAGTCATTATAGCTATTATAAAAAATATCCAATATATTAACTACTTACTTTTAGAAAAATTATTTTTAAATCACTTAGAATTTTTTGTCAGGTGGACTGGGCCGGCTCGAAGCTTCCGGGTATCCATACGGGCCGGGCTCGGACTTCAATTGTTAGGCCCGCTATACAGGCCGGGCTTGGGGCTAGAAAATTCTGGTAATGTAATGTCTCGGCCCGACCCAAAACTCGACCCAACCCGCACTTTGATCAAGTCTACTTTGGTCTCTGCCACCCTTCCATTATACTCAGTACTAATCCTGCTTTCCAATCATATATGGTCCTCGTAATAACTTTAGAGTTTCTATAAATTTTTAAAACAATACTTAATAATTATGTATTTTCTAAATTAGTCCTCAGGATAAACTAATTAACAAAATTGTACTCCCTAATTAAGAAAATTACTCAGTTTATTCCCCCAACTAACGACCATCAAAACAACGTTAAAATTCATACTAACTTTCCAAATTGGTTTCAAAATTAGAAAAACTCATTAAATATGGAGACAAGAAAGAAGGAGAAGAAAAAGAAAGGAATGAAGAAGAAAAGAAAGAGAAATTGGGATTTGGGGGAGCTGCAAAACGGAAAGAAAGGAGAAGAGATCAGAAAATAAACTGGAGGGTATTTGTGTCACTTCAATAAAGAAAAATTACCAAATAAGGAAACATGAACTTTATTTGTGGACGGACGAAAAAGGAAAGTACGAACATTGAAAATGGACCGAGGGAGTATATTATAATCTTATCCTTTATAAACCTTTTTGTATTTATCCTAAGTGGAGGTTGGTGCCTGTGTGAAGGTAGACATTTGTTCATTTAATGGGAGTCATATATATGTATTATGATGGATAGCATTTGAGCAGTGATGCATCGATGCATATGTTGTTCTGAGTAGTTTTTGGGCAAAACTAAACCTTAGAAAATTAATAATCATACTAACCCTATGTTTGGTTTAAGGAATTCAGATGGAAAAGAGAAGAAAATAAGTTTTTCATTTATCTCACAAAAATATAATGAATTTTGTTTTCCCTCTTCTTAGTACAATTTGCCTTCTTATTTTTTTTCCTTCTACTTTTCTTTTCTTTTTCTCTCTAACCAAACAAAAATACTTCTTTTCCATCTCATTTTCTGTTCTTTTCCCTTGCAAAATCTTTGAACCAAACATATGTAAGAGTTTTATACCTTTGGTGAGCATATAAAACAAGAGTTGAGTCCAACATTTTTTTCAAATCTTAGTACTAAAAGTTTAGTAGAATTCTTTTTATGATTTACCAAGTCTCACCGCGCCAAACATATATAAGTTTTCATTACTTTATAAAATAGCATTCATTTGCCGCAATTGTGAGAACCACACACTATAACTTGATTTTAAGAAGTTATAAATCAACTTCAAGGTCATTTTTTTTATTGACAAACGTATGTGATTAGCTTTGAGGGGTCTCAATATATTTAAGGTCAATAATGTTCTATATTTAGCAAAAATCTAATACTAAACAAATACCCGCAATAGAGTCAATAAGATTAAAAAAGACACTTGCAATAATCAAACTTTGTCGTAATGTCTTTCAATTTCAAGTATAAGAATTTACATCACAAAATGTTTATACGAGTCTTATTTCTTTTACTTTGATGTTGATGTCTATAATATATAAAACAATGTTAGAAAAATAAATTTTTCTTAAACTCGGAATTAATATTATATTGATGAAAACTTTTAGAATCGACAAAAAAATTCGTCTGAACCCGTGCGTGGCACGGGTAGAAATACTAGTATATATATATATAAACAAAGTGAGTAAGAGGAAACCATATACTGAATGCGGATGAACCAAATGAAGAGGAAATTGGAGTGAATGTCTTTGCAAAATTGAGGACATAATCATTCATATGTGATGGTAAATGATGAGTGCGAGGTGGAAGAGGTGACAGTGAGACTAGTGGAGAAGTGGTCTCCGCCGAGGAAGTAGACAGTGAGGGGATGGAGCTGAGTTGGTGGTGCACGGGCTGAAAATAGGGCTCAGGGGGGGTTCAGGGTAATGACGACGACGGGGAGGACGGTTGGGAATCAGACATAGGGGGCTGTGGTGGTGAAGACGGCACCGTGGGAGGATTAGAGGCCGACTGGGACTGACTTTTGGTGATGGGGGGAGTCCTCCTCCGACGGAACAAAGACGGTTTGAGGGAAACATGATCGAGTAGGTATAGCAAACAAAAACTAAGTTTCATCAAACGAAACATCTCAAGTTTGGAAAATTTATGTGTTTCAAGATTTTATACCCGCCAACCTTTTGTACCATAAGGATAATCGAGGAGCATACATTTCACACTTTGGGGAGAAAATTTATTTAATGGCTTAGGCATTTGACGAACAAAACACATACAACCAAAGACACGGATCGGGAGATGACTTAAGTCTTGTGGTTTAAAGGATAGAATTTCAAGAGGATACTTAGCCCCAAGTAATTTGGTAGGACTACGATAAACGAGATTAATCACTGTTTTGACACATTCTCTCCAAAATTCAACAGGAAGTGATGTTTGAAACATAAAGGACCGAGAAACGTTTAATATGTGACAATGTTTTCATTCTACTCGGCCATTCTGTTGTGGAGTACCTACATTGGAAGTTTGGATGCACACACCCAAAACATCATAATATTGACGTAGAGAATTATTGAGAAACTCAGTGCCATTATCACATCGAACCACTTTGATGGTTTTCGAGTATTGAGTTTGAATCATGACAAAAAACGCTTGAGACAAGATGTAACCTCACTTTTAGCTTTGATGAGGTAAACCCAAATGCCAGAAAAATAATCAATAATAGTGAGAAAATAATGTGCACCGGACGATATACAAGCAGAATAAGGAACCCAACAACAGCTTTATTATGACTAATAAGAAACAAAGGATGAGTGTGTTGAGACAAAAAAAAAATTACAGGTCTATATTTTCATGACAACACTGTTGGTTTTATTTGAAAGAGGGAATGCCCTTGTTTTTTAATAACAATATTCTATATTTATATTGACTCGATGAATGATATATTTATTAAATTTGTGATAGGTGAGAAGATATGTTTACCAAAATGTGATAAGGCTGGAAGATTTGGAGAAGCTCATTGATTGCGCATACATTCAGGTACTATTACATGGAGTGTTTTACCGAAAGTGTATGACCTTCCTACATAAAAAATATAATAAAATAAACAAACAAATTCTCAATTATATACGGGTAATGTTGTACAACTTATGTGAAATTTTTTAGTTATTGTAAATGCAATTACATTAACAGTCAATAAATGAGATGTAATCAATGAACGATTGAGTACGTAATAGTAGCAAATAATATGCAAGTAGAGAGAAAAAATCTAGAGAGAGAGAGAGAGCAAAAGAGTATTAATATGCTCTTAGATTCTCCCTTCTTCCCCTATAAATATAATACTAAGGGATTGTAGAAAATCTTCTCACTTTTAGAAAGAAAGAGAGAGGTTACTCTCCTAGTTTTCTTCATAAAGGTCATATTACACAACAAACTACTGCACCACAAGTCTCTTCTTATAAGTAGGTGAATTTGGGATAATCATCTCATAAATAGATAATGAAAGAACAATTTTAAAGAGTTATTTTTCTTATTGTGAGAATTTGGTGTGAGTCTAAGATTATAGCATTAAATGACATTTATTAAGAATATAAGTGGAAGGAAAAACTAACGGCATATGGGTAAGGTTGGTATTAAAGAACAATGTACATGATTTAAAGCATAATATACCTATTTTTTGGATGGGAAAGACCGAAAGAGCATCTTATTAAGGGGTGTACCAAACCCTCTTTCACATTTGCATAATGTAGAATATATATATATATATATATATATACACACACACACACACACACACATACATACATACATACATACATACATACATACATACATACAAATATATATATATATATATATATATACACACATACATACATACATACATATATATATATATATATATATATATATATATATATATATAATGTGTGTGTGTGTGTTTATAATCCCAATTAGGAATAGGAATCAATATTAGAAGCTAAACTAATACTACTATTATAGTTATTATTATTATACAGAGTAATTGTTATTGTTGTTGTTTATCAATTTTTTTTCAAAAAACAACAATAATGCATAGTGATGCTTCGGGGTGAAATTTTCTTCCGATCAAACAATGAAAAATATTATTCATCTTTGAGAGACATTTTCTCTAAAAAAATAAGCAGTATAGTTTTTTAAGAAACAAAAAATAAGTATAAACCAAACACACCCTAAAGAGTGTGGACTAGTGGACAATTTTATAGTGGGTAAGTGCGGATAAAATTAAATTGAGTGACAATAATTGTGCAATTGATTTGCAGCCTTACACCATAAACAGTGCCAAAGTGATATTCTTAAATCAGAGGACACAATCCAAGTCATGCAATAATAATAAGACTTCGGCCAGTTCTTGTTTCACTTGTGATAGAATTTTGCAGGACCCCTTTAGCTTCTGTTCTCTCTCCTGCAAGGTATGCCTTATTGCCTTTAACCATTTTCTTTTTCCTTGGTCTCTTATTCTAAATTTTTCCTCTGAGACCAGTTGATGAACTGCCATGCGGGCACCTTTAATTATTTTCTTAATTTGTTTCTTTCCGGATTACCCACTATCCATAGATAAAATCTTGATTTCAAATATCTCCAAATAATTTTATTTCAAATTTTAAAAATGCATATCATTTTATCCATATTTCAAAGCATATATCATATCATATATCTCGAAACACTCACGAAAAAACAGATTAGTGTTTTCCAAATTAATATTAATTATTTAAAAATTTTCTATTACGAAAACACAAACTAAAAAGGGTAAAATACTTACAAGGTCTCCATATTTTTTGAAAGTAATTCCCAATTGCCTGAATTATTTTAAGTGCTTACTAAATCACTATATATTTTAGAAATTGCTCCATAGGTCCTTAAATTATTTTTAATTGGTTCCTATAAGGTCCACATACTTTCTAACTGGTGCATTAGTAGTCCATTGGATGATATTTTTCAGATCAAGTGTGCGGAAATTGTTTGAGCAACACGCACAAAATGTTCGAAAATGTATGATATAACGTCAAATCTTACCACAATTTCAGGAGACTTGGTCTGAAAAAACAACCAAAAGGACCACTAACGCAACAGTTTAAAAGAATAGGAATGCGACATGCACCAAAAATAATTTAGGGACTTTATAAGCACTTAAAATAATTCAGGAATTTGTGAAGCACTTTCACAAAAAATAAGGATCTTGTAAGCATTTACCCAACAGAAAAAATTATTATTTTTAATTTTTAAACAAGACCTGAATACCTTATTTATTTTCTTGAAGTTACACTATGAAATCCTTGTTATCTAGGTTGATTTTATGGCGTACCACGAACAAGATTTATCCGACATAATCCTCTTCAAGTTTGATGATGAGTCTGGTGTACCCTTCTCCCCATTCGAGGAGGAGTTGCGAATGGGCGGCGGCTCAGAGTCGCTCGACGCTGACGACCGCGAAATTACTCTCCACTCCTCTCTGGAAGACAGGTTGGCGTGCAAAAATACTGCTTGCTCCCGCAGCAGTACCATGGGCAATTCTGGTATTTCACAAAATGTCGCGACTAAAAGTGGACCTCGTTTCCTGCCTAGGTTTATGGTCTCCGTGAGCAATAGGAGAAAGGGTGCTCCTTCAAGGTCTCCCTTTTCGTGAAGATAATAATGTTGTACTTTTGGTTCGGGTTTAGTTGTCCATTTTCTTAATTTCGCGTGTATAAAACTAAGGGGGGTGTATTCAACGTGGATTCTGTAGTATTTTTTTGGATTTCAAAAGTCTGTGGGTATTCAATCCCGATTTAAAAAAATCATTTAAAATCTGGAAGTATTCAATTCAGATTTTAATATTTCCTTCTAAATATAATGGTATTCAAAAATTAATTGATTTTAAAAGATTTCTATAATATATGGATTTTGATGGATTTGAGGCTTTATGTATAAATTAAAATCTAAGTCCAAAATCTCACAAAAAATGCAAAGATTTTGCAAATCCACGCAGGGTTCGTCTCCTTCACCATCTAGCCTCCAACCTTCCCCGACAAATCCTTCATTGAATACTTCCGATGGCAGCGGCTCGACGTGGAATACTTCCGATGGCGGCGACTCTTCAATTCCACGCAGGGTTGTTCCGTGCCCCCATCTCGCCCAATCTTCATCACGATGGCGGCGACTCGACGTGGAGCCACGATGACGGCGACCCTCGAATTAGGCAGAGGAAAGGACGAAGATCGAAAAAGAGAGAGGGGCTAGGGTTTCTAGGGAGGAAGAAGGGAAAAAAGAAAAGAAAAGAAAAAAAAGGAAAGAAAATATAGAAAGAACGGAGATGGAGGAAGAAGGGGCTAGGGTTTCTGGGGAAGAAGAAGGGAAAAAAAGAAAAGAAAAGAAAAGAAAAAGAAAAAAGGAAAGAAAAAATTGAAAGAATGGAGATGGCGGAAGAAGGGGCTAGGGTTCATGGGGGAAGGAGGAAAAAAAGAAAAGAAAAAGAAAAAGAAAAAAGAAAAGAAGAAAAAAAGAATAAAAGAAAAATAAAATATAATCCTATAAAATCCTTTTATAAAATACATTAGAATCTAGGTAACTCTGCGTAAACTTAAAACAATCCAATGAACTTACAGAATCTATGGATTCTAAATAATTTATCAAAATCTTGTAAAATCTAAATTGAATACACCCCCCTAATATTCTGTGGTTCGCTTCCTATATTTAATAAAGAGATTAATGTCTATTACTAAAAAAAGAAATTAAACTTACATCCCGCAATTACATGGGTGGGAGGTGATTGGTGTCGGGTTTGGTCGGTGGATCTAACATGAGCTAGTGGGGCGCGCAAGTAGAGTGTCAATCTAGCGGTGGCCGGAAGGTATCAAAATAAAAATTGTTCGTAAAATAAACATTCGGGAAGGTTTAATTGACATTGGACGGCAATGTCATAGGATGACCCGGGGGCGCTCCGGTGTCCCGTTCGTAAAATTGACGGTTCCTACCCTCCCTAACCCCCCGGTAAACCCCCCATCCGGCCCCCATCCGAACACACCCCTTACTCCCTTCAATTGCACCCCACAAGTTAATTTTGACTTTGGAATCAAATTTTGACGGGAGAAAGACCAAAGTATGACTAAAACATTGAAAATATACCAAAATAGGACTTTCATGTTTTTATTTTCGAAATAGGACTTACATTACCATACATGGTCATATACATTACCAAAAATGTATAGTAATTTGCACATATACACTGCCACATTACAACAGGGCAAAGTCACATTACCACAGTGCAAAGTTCTATTTCGGGGAAAAAAACATGAAAGTCCTATTTTGGTACTTTTCTCTATGTTTTAGTCATATTTAGGGTGATTTTTAAATTTTGACGAGATCTAATAAAGTTGGAGTACTCCTTCGGCCGCACTGTAGCAATAGAGTTGGAGTGCCTCACTGTTTAGTAAATCTGAAAAAAATCCGTTTCATTCCCGTTGGGGGATTATTATAATTTGGAAATATAATTTTGAAAAAGATATACAATTTTAATATTAGGTCCCATTTGGTACACGGAATTCAAACTATGGAATTAGAATTGAGGGCTTCAATTCTAATTCTCGTGTTTGGTAGCACAAAAATTATGTGAATTTCAAATTGGTAGTGCAAAAAATGAATTGGAATTGGTGAAATCAATTCTATGGAATTGAATCCCATGAAATTTAAATTCCAATTCAATTCCAATTCCATCAATTCCGTGTACCAAACGGACCCTTACTGATTTCGCCTCAAAATTATGACATCACTTTGAATCACATGCAAAAATGTCAACTCTTTTGAAATAATTTTTTTACAAATTAGTATAGAAATAAAGTGTACAAACTACATATTTAAAAAGTAAATTTAATTTTTTATAAAACAAGAAGTGATAAAAATATTTTATTTTATCAAATGATAAATGAGAATATGCAAACAACAAAATTTATCGAAAAATCAGAATAGTAACTATGACGATTATTTTGGGACGGAGAGTACATAATTTTGAAAAAAACAAAATTTGGAAATTCCATATTTTATAAACATTATTGTTAGAAAATCTGAATAAAGAACACTTGGATTCTATGAAAGGTGTGTATTCACTTCTAGATTGAAAATATTCAGCACTTCAATCGAATATTTTAATCGGATACAACTCACAGAGAAATTAAGAACAAAATATAGAGGTGAAATTTGCATTAAATAGTACTAAAAACATATTGTTTTTCCCAATGTAGTACTTAAACTTTTTTATTTCCTATATAGTATTTGAATAATGTCTACTAGCGAGAACAATGTCCAGTGATGATGGATATTTAGTTTGAACAAGGTCCAGTGCTGCTGGACATTTACTTGAACAATGCGCAGTGGACATTGAACAGTGGTACCACATTGGAAATAAAAATATATGGTTACATATTGGGAAAGTCACTGTGTTTTAGTATTATATAAGTAAATTCTCTAATATAGAGATTGATGAGATAATTTTGAACATGTCTGATGACCAATCTTGCGAACAATTCTTAGAGCATCAACAATGGCAAGGCGAAAATAGAATGACACACGGTGACATGGAACATTTTAACCAATAAAAAATAGTCTAGTCAGCGTGTGGCAAGTGAATGGAGTGACAAGTCCTACAATGGCAAGTCATTATTTTTATCACTTTTTTACATTTTTTTTATGTTTTATAAACATAAAAAAATATTTTTATTATTTATTTTATTAAAAAATTATTCTACTTTCTTATACATTTTTTTTCATAAAAATTTTTAAAAAAAATTATTTTAAAAAAATAAAAAAAGAAGGATGAAGTGTCACACTCATGCCTCACCAAGCAAGGCATTTTGGCATTGCCATGCCATGATATGAGTGGAAGAAGATGACGTGGCAGTGCAAGGCATCCCTTTTACTTGCCATTGCACATGCTCTTATAGATGCGCGAAAGATGTGAAATTGTCGCTTGATGCATCTTTACAAAGTTTGAGTCCATTCATACCAATTTGTTAAAGACGCGGTTCAAATGTTCTTATGTAAATATCTGGAAATAAAAATTCAAATGGATTTTTAATACAATAATTTATCTAAAATAAAAAAAAATCGACCCCAACCAAGCTAAGGCTCTGCCCCTTAAACCTCGCATAGGTATCACTCCTTGGACCACGCTTCTAGGGGCACTGCCTCCAGACCCACGCCATGGGGGCGTTGCCTCTTAGAACTTTTATTAAATAATTTGGGGGTAACACATGCTATTATCATAACAAATTTAACGAAGTGTACACTCTGCACCATCGGACTCCTTTGTTGATTATTATGATTGCATTGGTGAAACAGTCACTCCAACTGCACTTAAAATATACTCTCTCCATCCGCTAAAAAACTTTTCAAATGTCATTTTTGTTTGTCGGGTGAATATCTTCAATTTCCATTACTTTTTTTATCATTTAAAATAGCAAAAATACCTTCACTTTATTTATTACACTTCATCCACTTTATTTTATACTTCACCTAAGTTATTATTATATTGCACATCATGGAAAATCTTATTTCGTTTTTTTAAAGGGGGAAAATATTACGGAGTATTTAAAAATATGGTAGGAAGTCATTTTGAGTTCTAGTTGGTGACCTAATATTGTGATTCCATTGTCAAACTTGTCATCAAACCTTTCTCCCCAACAAACGCGCACTACAAATCAATAGTCTACGAATCCCAAATTCGCTATTAATCTAAACGGTCAAAGCCCTTTTTTGTCAATTCAACTAGCAATTCGTCCATTGAATCTTACATCATTTCTTCACTTGTGAATTCCAATTCTCCCTCTCTCTCTCTCTCTCCGACTCTCCCACAGATTGATTGTACAGATATATAATCTTAGGGGGTTGGAGAGGGAAACTAGGAGTTTGTTGTGATGGCTCCGGCGATGAGGGACGTGCAGCTGACGACGGCGAACAGGAACTCGTCGGAGGCTGCCGGAGAAGATGAGTTGGAGGAGGTTAGGCTGTTGGATTCCTATGAGGAGGAGAGCTCCGGCGAGGGTTTGAGGAGAATTCAGGTTAGAGTCACGGGGATGACATGCGCGGCCTGTTCCACATCCGTTGAAGCAGCTCTCGCGGCCGTACACGGCGTCGTTAAGGCCTCCGTCGCTCTGCTTCAGAACAAAGCGGACGTCGTCTTCGATCCTAACCTGGTCAAGGTCGCTTGCTTTATTCATTTCTCTCACGTTGTTTTAGTTTTTTTTTTTTCGTTTTCAGTTCATATTGGTGTTTAGATAGACTTAGAAAAAGATTGATCTAGTTTTAAGGTTTAAACCCTAGCTTAGCTTTCCAGCTACTTGATGTCCATGTAGATTGGGGCCGTTGCGAGTTATGCCATTACTAATTGGCCAATTAACCTTGAGCTAAGTTTTGTTTTAACATGAAATTTGCTTATCTGAGTAATTGATTACTTACTCCACCCACAGATGAGTTACTCCCAATTTATCGAAATTGTACACGTTTTGAATATCAGTAGGGTAACTATGAGAAATAATCAAATGTAGCTATATATTTTTAGATTTAGTTTTTGCTGCAACTACATTTTAACACACCTAATTTGTTATTTTTTGTACTGATCACTTATTAAATAATAAGCTTTTTAAAAATACATTATACCAGTCAAATTTAGAGTTCCATATGTTGAAGGCTATGGTGCACAGGAGGATATGCATTCTTGGAGGGTTGGACATATAACTATGGGTAATGCTATCAAAGAAGATTGTTTTTTAACAGACTACAAATTGTACTCCTTTTGTTTCAGGATGAAGACATTGCTAATGCTATAGAAGATGCAGGATTTGAGGCTGAGATTATAACTCAGCCTATGACATCTCAAAAGAATGCACATGGACATGTTTCAGGGCAGTTTACAATAGGTGGCATGACCTGTGCAGCTTGTGTAAATTCTGTTGAAGGTATATTAAGGGATATCCCAGGTGTGAGAAAAGCTGTTGTTGCATTGGCTACCTCATTGGGAGAGGTTGAGTATGATCCTGTCATAGTCAGTAAGGATGACATTATTAATGCAATTGAAGATGCTGGTTTTGAGGCTGCGTTTGTACAGAGCAGCGAACAGGACAAAGTCACACTAGGGGTTGTTGGAGTATCTACTAAGATGGATACACAGTTGTTAGAAGCTATTCTTTCCAAGTTGCATGGTGTGAAACACTTTTATTTTGATTACACATCAAGAGAGCTGGAAGTTGTCTTTGACCCTGAGATTCTTGGTCCAAGATCCTTAGTTGATGGCATTGAGTCGGGGAGTAGTGAAAAGTTTAAGTTTATATGCAAGCATCCCCACACAAGAATGGCTTCCAGAAATATGGAAGAGTCCTCCTATATGTTCCAACTCTTCACTGCAAGCTTATTTCTCAGTGTGAGTTCTTCACATTTTCCCACTGTTTCTACTCTTCATTTAACTTTAGAGCTACTCAGATTCTTCCGAATCCTTGAATCACAAACACGGTTCTCCTTAATACTTATGGAGGGTCTGCTAGCTTAAGTTTGCTATCATGTTTTGTTGTATGGTTTTTTTATTGTACCTGTTATTGTTTACCGACTTATGTTGTGCATATATGTTTTTAAAATCCTATTTTGGGTTCTATGTTGGAACATACTGTATTCTGTACTCTGTAGAATCATCTCCGTCTCTTTCTTTTGTAGCTTGTTCACTTAGAATTGAAAACAAAAGAACTTCACCAAGACCTTTTTTTGTGCAATGAAAGAAATGATGTGCAGTATATTTTTCTTGATCATTGACTGTGGACACCATCTTCTGGATCTTTTATTCTATAACCATTTGAATAATTGTAACCAGGTTCCAGTACTTCTAATGCGAGTAGTCTGCCCCCACATTCCTTTGATCTATGCATTACTACTTCGCCGTTGTGGTCCTTTCCAAATCGGTGATTGGCTGAAGTGGGCCTTGGTCACTGTTGTTCAATTTGTTATTGGGAAGCGTTTCTATGTTGCTGCTGGAAGAGCACTACGAAATGGTTCCACAAACATGGACGTCCTTGTAGCACTAGGAACTACATCTTCATATTTGTACTCTATATGTGCACTTCTCTATGGTGCAATTACAGGCTTTTGGTCTCCAACTTACTTTGAAACAAGTGCTATGTTAATCACATTTGTCCTTTTGGGGAAGTATTTGGAGATTCTTGCTAAAGGAAAGACATCAGATGCGATTAAAAAGCTTGTAGAACTTGCCCCTGCTACAGCTATATTGCTTATCAAAGACAGAGGTATGCTGTTGCTTTTTCAACTGTTTAGCTCACTGATTGTGCCTCATTCATATGAACTGTATGTATGTATTCAGTTTGTGTCATTTTACAATAAACAACTACTCCCTCCATTCTTTTTAACTGTTCGGTTCGTTTTTCGAGTTAAATGTATGACCATTAATATCTCTTAAAGTATATTAGTAAACCAAATATTAAAAATAATATATTAAGAGTAATTTTCGATACGAATATTATGGCATAATTTTTATATTTTAATTCATTATATATTTTTATATAGGGTGTTTTTATATTCACTCTCATTTTGACTAAATCCACCCATTTTATGTTAAATGGACTATTTTGCCCTTAAAAGTGGGCTTACATCTAAATGTTCTCTTTTGTCATTTAAAGGAAAAAATTGTCTATTTACCATAAAATGGGTGGATTTAGCGAAAGTGGGAGTAGTATATGTGCTCATGATCCAAAAGATAACATATACTAAAAGTATGCTGTCTAAAATATGTTGCTGCTGCCTACAAATTGCCAACTATATGGTTTTATTCTTGTTTTAGGAGGAAAAATTGTAGGGGAACGAGAATTGGATGCTTTGTTAATTCAACCCGGTGATATATTGAAAGTACTACCTGGTACAAAAGTTCCTGTTGATGGTATCGTTGTATGGGGGTCCAGTTATGTAAATGAGAGTATGGTTACTGGTGAATCTGCTCCTGTTCTAAAGGAGGTCAATTCCTTTGTTATTGGAGGTACAATAAATTTTCATGGTTCACTTCACGTACAGGCCACCAAAGTGGGCTCCAACACTGTTTTGAGTCAGATTATATCTCTTGTTGAGACTGCACAGATGTCTAAAGCACCTATTCAGAAATTTGCTGACTATGTGAGTACATTGTGCTATGTGGCATATGACGTCATGTGTTCATTTTTCTTTTTCTTTTCGGAAGTGTGCTTGGAGCCAGTTCTTGCTCAGGTTGTATTCTTAAATCTTAAGCTAAAGAAATGTCCTAATGTGTTTGGTACTTTTGTCACTTCCAGATAGCAAGTGTTTTTGTTCCTGCTGTTGTTACTATGTCAGTGTTAACATTCTTTGGATGGTAAGTTGGATACACACTAATCAGTCTGCTGATATTTTTACTCTGTATTTTATTATGATGATGATTATTATAAACAGAACGATGTTATTCTCATTGGCTGATGAGCTGTGGTTTATTTTTCTGAATTTCTCCAGGTACATTGCTGGGCTCGCCGGAGCTTATCCAGAGGAATGGCTACCTGAAAATGGAAATAAATTTGTTTTTGCACTCATGTTTTCAATATCAGTTGTGGTAATTGCATGCCCATGTGCACTTGGTTTGGCTACCCCCACTGCAGTTATGGTTGCAACTGGGGTTGGTGCCAATAATGGTGTGTTGATAAAAGGAGGTGATGCATTGGAGACGACACAGAAGATTAAATATGTAATATTCGATAAAACAGGCACATTAACGCAGGGTAAAGCTACAGTTACAACTGCAAAAGTTTTTGCAGAAATGGATCGTGGGGAATTCCTTACATTGGTGGCTTCTGCAGAGGTAACTTATGCCACTGGCCATACTTTTCTAGCATCTTGTAGAGCCCATTTGGTACATGTGAATTTGGCTGAAATGTCTGGACTTGTTGCAGCTACTGAAGTTCTCACTGAAATAGCTAAAGTTGCTTATCGAGAATAGTAATAAAAATATACTCGTATTTTATTAATAGAATAATGATAAGCAAATACGAAAATAACGATAATATTGTTCATAAACTAAGTGTTTTGTAAAACTTAGCAAAACAGTAAGCAAATTGATGGGAAGCTATGATTTAGTTGGAAAGGTCGGTCACGATGGATCTATTTCTACATCTTTCTCTATTCCTCCCTCTTGAGCTACGACCTGATCTGCTCTCATTTTGAGCTCTTTCTTTTGCTGACTTGTCTCCGAAATAAGTAATGTAAAAATAGTCCACAAAACAGGTACTTCTAAGACCCTTTTGGGTCTGGAATCTGGATCAACATGTCTAAAGTTATTGACTAACTATCCATGCAATATGTGAAGTATGAGATGAATGCTCATCGTGATTCATGACACAGGCTAACAGTGAACACCCATTGGCTAAAGCCATACTGGAGTATGCTCGCCATTTCCATTTCTTTGGTGATACTTTGACTACGAAGGAGGAGCAAACTTGTGGAGCATCCAAACTCTCAGGATGTCTTCATGATGCCTCAGATTTCTCTGCTTTACCAGGAAGAGGTGTTCAGTGCTACATTGATGGCAAACGAATATTGGTCAGTGAATGGCATGATCATCTATTTTTTCAAACAGTTACAATAGGTGTTCTTATTGACGCTTCTCTTCACTGTAACAGGTTGGTAATAGAAAGATACTGATTGAAAGTGGGATCGGGATACCTAAAGATGTCGAAAATTTTATCATGGAGTTGGAAGAAAGTTCAAAGACTGGGATTCTCGTGGCCCGCGATAGTGTTGTTATAGGTGCTCTTGGTATAGCAGACCCTTTAAAGAGAGAAGCTGCCGTTGTTGTAGAGGGTCTCATGAAAATGGGTGTCATTCCTGTCATGGTCACCGGCGATAATTGGACAACTGCTCGGGCTGTTGCTAAGGAGGTTTCTGCACAACATTTCATCCCATAACCTATGTGTTAAGCTACAAACGTGCTAAGGGCACACCACATATGACACCACTTTTGACACCATTGTGTCTCACAGCCACAAGCAAGGCAAGACACACACAGATAATGTTTGTGAGACACGATAGTGTCAAAAGTAGTGTCAAATGTGGGTGGGGGGGGGGCTGAGAAATCTACCTAATTTGGTGGTTATTATGGCTGCGTCCCGTTCGCCCGATCAAATTTTTTGAAGATCTGGTCTGATTTGATTGGATCTATGATAAGATCTGATTTGATCTTCTGATCTGATTTTAATAAGAATAAGTAAGAATTAGTAATAAGTTGAAAAAAAATAAGTTGAACGGAATGGACCCTATGCATGCTTTCCCTGCAGGTTGGCATTGAAGACGTGAGAGCAGAGGTAATGCCAGCAAGAAAAGCCGACGTCGTCCGCTCATTTCAGAAAGGAGGGAACGTGGTTGCAATGGTGGGCGATGGCATCAACGACTCTCCCGCACTTGCCGCCGCAGATGTCGGCATGGCGATCGGCGCGGGGACCGACATCGCAATCGAAGCTGCCGACTACGTGCTGATGCGCAGCAACTTGGAAGACGTCATCACCGCGATCGACCTCTCCCGTAAGACTTTTGCTCGCATCAGACTGAACTACGTGTTCGCCATGGCCTACAACATGGTTGCCATCCCAGTCGCGGCAGGTGCGTTCTTTCCTATTGTGAGAGTGGAGTTGCCGCCTTGGGTGGCCGGCGCGTGCATGGCCATGTCCTCCGTTAGCGTCGTCTGCTCTTCCCTACTTCTAAAGAGATACAAGAAACCTCGTCTTACCACATTACTAGAAATCACAGTGGAGTAGAAGAAAAGAAATTGTGGTTTAAAATGAATTGACACTAAAAGAATGCGTGTCCTAATTTTTTTGTGTGTATCTGTGATTCGTTCCTTCTTTCATATAAAAACCAGTCGGTTGTTGTATAATTGACATTGCTAATCTAAATGTAAATGCTTTGTTTGTTCTTATGCTGGTGTCACTAGGGGGGGGGGGTGGGTGTCACTAGGTGGGGGTAGGATTTTTTTTTCTTTTTTCTTCCTAAAAATATCTTGCCGGTGGTTATAGGTCCGTCACAAAGCACCTATCGAGGCGGCAAAGTTTAAAGGGAAGAGATAAACACAAATTTCAAGATTTGCAAATCCTAGTTGAAATTCATTTTGGCATCAGGTTCCAAATTTATGTGTAGGATTATGGATTCTCGATAATTTTTGTTGGTTTGTTGGTTTTCATTGATCATATGATAAAATAAGATATTCATGTCGAAGAGTAAAACTTTTGATTTAGTTTTGAGATATGTAATTTGTACTTTTTTGTTTCCATGCTAATTTATAAATAAACTATTTTTAAAAGAGATGATATTTTCAATGTTGTTTGAAGTAGGAGGATAATTCTCAGAGGGAGTGAGTATTTATTTAGAAAGAAGAAAAAGTTATACTCATCCATCCCATAAAGATTTTCTGCATTCGATTTTCACGGAGTTTAAAAAATGTTGAATAGTAAAAATTGTGTTGTAAAAATTTGATAAGAGAAGCTTTTTGAGCCTCACATTCTTTTTCTCAAAAAGCGGAATGAAGTTCTTAAGACGGATGAAATAGGAAAGAGGATCTTTTAGGGATACAGTAAATAAAAAAACCCATATGATATGTGAAGAGTATTTATATTTATGTATTCTGAGAAATATCGTTATATTAATTATTTTCAAATTGCATTAAAATTTCACTCTCGCAGTTTTTCTAGATAAATAAATAAACGATGAATTATCAAATCACATTTGCCCAAAAGACCAATGGAAAAATTCTTTTTAATTTTTAATGTGTGTCACAATTTCTTTTCATATTTGAAGTGGAACTTGCCATATATTATCTTATAGGTGCTACTCTGTACTAGATTGGTGATTATGGAATTGTGCATAAATGTATTTTACATTTTGAGATTTTAGCGAACAATATACTATAAGATAAAAAAGAGAGGCTGCTACATTTGATGCCATGGCTAGTGACAAGACATCAACAATGCGATTAGAACTCACTGTCTTGAATTCAATGTGAAACTCAAAGCTCGTGAGTTTTAAAACATCGAATTGTTGCTCTGGTGTTTGGAGAGTTAAGAAGGACTCTTTAAGACTCTTTTGATCCATGCGTATGATGAAGTCATGGCCTAACAGATATTGGTGCCACTTTAGAACGGGTTCCACTATGGCATATAATTCTTTATGATAAGTTAGCACCATTTTTTAGCGTGGGTCCATTTTTTTGCAAAAGTAATTAAGCCACACTGCCACAGGATGACCATGTTGCATTAGGAACTCACCAATTCCCTTGTCTAATAATGTGTCAATTTTCATTATGAATTCTTCCTCAAAATTTGTATGGTGTGAAATTGATGATTTTATCATCGTTTCTTTCAACCATGTGAAAGCGACCTCAGTATGAAAGTCATTCATCTTCAGAGGTGATGTCAACGAGGACTTCTATATTGCATAATGTTGGATGAAATGTCAATAGTAGCCCGTCAAACCCAAAAATCCTCTAGGTAGTGTGATGTTTGTAGGTTGTGGCCAGCTAGCTATCGTTTCCAACTTCCTTGAATTTGCCTATAATTTGCCCATGGTTACCAAATGGACGAGGTAGTCGACTGTATCACTGCAAATGTACACTTGGTTAACTTTACACAGAATGTACGAGTAGGAAAGGTGCGTAAAACGATCGCTTCATCTTTTCTGGTCGGCAACGATCTGACATTATTCTTGTTCATTGGTGTATGTTTGGTCTGTACAATCACCATACACGATAGTAGTTTTGTCATAGGAGGAAGTGTCCTCATTCTCTGATACCGTAGGCAAGCAGTATTACCTTAAAATTGTTCCAAAAATTAATCCAAATAAACTACTTCAATTCGAGAAATGGAATTTTTGGTTACACCGGTTGGCAAGCACTATTACCTTTAAATGTATTATTAATAATCCAAATATGTACATTAGTATTTGTAACAAGTATTACTTAAAAACATGATATCATTAATGCAAAAGATGCATTGAGACTAGCTAGAGGATGTATAGATTGATAAATGTGTCTCACAAGTTATGGATATGTCATATCACGTCAATACATAGAGTAATAGTGTGAAGGAACAAACTCAACCAAAAGCTCAAGCTTGTGGTTGCGGCCTAGGAAAGGTTTTTTATATTATAACATGCCCCCTCACGTGCAGGCGTATTCATTCCGAGCTTTGTACGTGAAACCTTAATTTTTTTTGAATTGGGTGACGCTGACTTTCAAACCTATGACCTCTTAGGCTGCGTTCTCTTTGGTTGATTTGATTTGAACTGAATTCTTTAAGGCTGACCTCGTCTGAATGAATTTGATCTGATCTGATTTGAATTGTTCTAATTCTAATTTAAATAATAATAATAATAATAATAAAAATATTATTATTATTATTATTCTTTATTCATTATTATTATTATAATTAATTTTTATTAATTATTATTAATAATCATTATTAATAATATTCACAATAATAATTTTATGATAAATAGTATAAATTGTAATTATTAATTATTATTTTAGTAATTATATTTAATATTATTATAATTAATTATTGTTATTAATATTGAGTGTTATAATTAATGATGATGATTATCATTACTAATTGTAATTATAATTAAAGTTATAATTAATGTTAAATTCTATTATTATTGATATTATTAATTAACAATTATTATCATTATATTTAAAAATAATTATTATTAATTACTATTATCATTATTATTAGTTGATAATAATAAGAATTAGGATTATTATGATTTTAATTATTATTATTATTATTAAGTACTACTACTATTATTATTAAGTATGATGATGATAAATTATTAATATTATTATTACTTAATAATGATAATAATAATAATTATTTTCATTATTTTAATTATTATTTTGAAATTAATGATTTTTGAATACTTTTCTTATCTGAATGGATCAAATCTGTAACTAATAAGCAATAAGTAGCAAAAATAAGTTGAAGAAAACAAGACCTTATTCATCAAGGCTCCGATACCATGTCAAGGAAAAACTCAACCAAAAGCTGAAACATGTGATTATGACTCTGGAAATGTTTTTTATTTTCTACTCCGTATCATTTAGAGAATAAAAAAATAATTTTCACCTACAAGGGTCGAGCAGAAATAAATCTGAGTTGCACGTAATGAGTTTAATTTATAAGCACTTAGGTTGGACCATATTCAAAATCTCAATCTAATTTATTATTAGTTCAACTCAAGAACTTGTAAATTCATTAAGCTTATTGATTTTTTAAATTTTAGTTTTTTACCTAATTTTAATATAATAAATTAAGATAATTTGTATTTAAAAAATAATTTAAATTTCTAGTTCTTTTTCATTCCGGGGATATAAGTTCCTCAATTCTTCTTCTCTCTCTTTTTTACCCCAACCCTCTCGACTCAAATCATTCCCCCACTTTCTTCTTTGCCACACCAATGTTTCTCAAACAATCCCCCTTCATTAACGTTGCTCTAATGATGTTTCTGATTTTGGAGTATCTCTAAATTTGTTATATTTACAAGATAAAGAATATCATAGAGAGCAATTAGGGTTTAAGTACCAACGTGGTCTCGAACTTCCCCAATAATGTTTCATCTATATAGGAATTCTGCTGGCTAGCTCGTTAGCCCACCAATGAAATTCCATCCCCAAGCATATTATTCTGGTCAACAAACACAGACACTATTGCATCAATAGCTTTCTCACTCTCCACTACCACAACATTACTTGAGATATTTGTCACTGCATGCCTTGGAAACCCACCATCAAGTAGTCCTTGCTTACAATAGAATGAGTGTTGAAAATGGCTTATCTGATCGGGAAACACCAACACCGGCGAGAAATCGGCCACCCACTTCGTCCCGTTTCCGGCCACCGTCATTTTTCCGACCGTCGACTTCGCGCTCATCCCCTTCACGCTGTTGTGATCAACCACAACCTGGCTCACATTCTTGAAAACGCCATCAATTTGCACAATGGGCACCATGTGGTTAGGGTCTCCATTAATGAACATATTGTTCACGACGTTCAAGCCCGAAACGCGACCCGAAACCGACTTCAGAACCACGTTGGCGCCCCCGAGGAAGTACCCGTTCGTGATGTGAACCCAAGACGGGTCTTCGACCACAATGGAGTTGTAGTCCAAGTAGCAATTGCTTATTCGGTTCTGAGCCGCTCTGACCAGAATCCCGACGCCGCCGTAAGCGGAGGCCTTGTTGTAGCAATGCACGCCGGTGACCACGTTCGACTGGCCCCGCAACACGACCCCGACGGCGGCGGAGAAGATCGCGACGTCGGTGACGGCGTTGTCGGTGCTGTCGAGGTCGATGGCCGTGCCGGAGAAACCCTTCTCGTCGGCACTGCCCCCGACCGTCGAGTGCTGCCCGAGGAACGTGTTCGACACGAACGTCTCGTGCCCGTGCCGGACGAGGATCCCTTGGGTGGTGAAGTGGAGGAAGAAACAGTTGGTGACGCGGATTCTGACCGAGTCAACCACCTTGATTCCTCCTCCACGAAAGCTGGAGTCGAAGAGGATGTCACGGAAAGTGACATCCTCGTATTGGGTTACGCCTTTGTTGTCTTTATCCTCAAGCTCAATTAGATGTCTATTTCCTGGAAATACATCGGATGCTCGCAAGGAGCCGCTTTGTACCTGCAAAGGTTGTTAAAGAAAACCATGCATCAATCTTCATTATAAAAGGTGAATTTTGCAAGCAAAAAAAGGCAAACTTTTAGAAATGGTTGGTCCAAAACTGTTTTTTGGTGAAGGGTTAGTTATTCGTGACCGCTTTGAGTTTTGCACGTGAAAATTTTAATTTTTTTAATCTGGGTGGCATTGAATTTTGAACTTGTGACTTTTTAGTTAAGAAGGTTTCGATGCCATATCAAGAACTTTGCATTGTCAGACATTAGAGTAATAGGACCGGTCATATTTATGGAAAAATAATATGTTTAA